GGCTCTATCATTCTCTGAACAAGCACAGGGGACCGCATACCCACTGCCTAGCTGGCAGCAGAGCTCTGAGTAGGGTGGGGTCAGGATTCTCCGTTCACTTCTCCCTCCTGGGGCTGGGCTGGGCTGGCAGGTACTGGAACAGAACCAGAAGCTGAGTGTGTGGTCAGCAGCAGGCCTATCCCCTTGGGGTCTTCCAAACTTCTTTTGGGCACTACTGAAGGTGCCTATAGAAGGTTGCTGGTCAGTTGCTAGTCAGTGCCTTTCTTGGACCACCGTCCCTGAGACCTGGGGATAGGGTTGTGACCCTACTCTTGGAGCTGCATGGAGGTGCTGGGACAGGGGGACACACTGTCTTGGAAGCACATTAGAAGTTGTGGCTGCTCCCAGGTTTAGGGAGAGCTACATGGAGCTAAGGTTCTTGGCCAAAGTGTGGTTGTGATCTAGGAGATTGGGGCCAGTCCCCAGTGGTCCTGTAGGACTGTGAGGAGCAGTATGGCCTTGGATTTGAGTGAGGAGGGGCCTGGAAAGGTCTTTGGATGAATGGTGTGGGGTAGCAGGTGGAGAGCAAGAGCTGAGGCTGAGCTGGGATGCAGGAGCCAGGTGGATCCCAGCAGGTTCCCATGGGGGGCCAGGCCAACAGGAGGCAACCACCTTGACAGAGGCTGCTGGGGCAGGTGAACTACAAAGAGTGTAGGCAGGGATAGGGGAGTGGACGCATTTCCCATGGATGGAATACGTGAGTGGTATCCTCAGAGCTTTTATCCTTCCTGCCTTACTTGCCTAAGGTCGGTACTGGGTACCCTACCTTACACATATGTCTGCAAGGCGGGGGAATGACTGTGACCTGTCAGGACCTGTGTTTGGGGTAGAGGAAGTTGAATCAGGCCAGGGGATCATCAGAAGTGAAGTGATGGGACAGAGAATTGTCTCCACATGTGTGCTGACATGTATATCACTGGGCATCTGGGCAGACGCTAAATATAATTTCCATGATAGAGAAAGGTCATTAGTGGCAGGTAGAGAGGTGGACAGTGTCCCGATCCATCCTGGGCCCCTGGGAGTAGAGGCCCTTCCCTGGGTCCTGTCCGAGAGTTGCAGGCCTCCACTCACTCAGGAAAAGGGTTCCTTGTTATGACCCCAGACCCTTGCTACTCAGTGTTGAGGAAGGTGCCATTGACCTAGCTCCTTCTCTAGTCCTGGACCTGTTGCCAGGACATGGGGGCAGGTATGACTAACCCAGATTCCTAAGTTCTGGTCCAGGGTAGGGACCTGGCTGGCTGGCCCAGATCACGTTTCTGAGGCTCGGAGGAGAGGTGGCAATAGCCACTGTGAGAGCAGCAAGCGAGCAAGCAAGCAAGGGATGCCTGTGTGTGCTGCAGTTGAGAACAAACAGCCCTGCAGAAGGATGGTTTTCAGTCAGGCTTGGGGAAGAGTTTCCAGATGTTAGGAATCAGGACCTGAGTATAAGACGATTGCTAAAATACTCTGGAAGGGAGGCTGAGAGCTTTTCCCCCACCTTCAACAGGTGGGGTGTCAAAGGTACACGTTAGTGTCCACCCGCGAGGGCGACCTCCACACTTGTGCTGACATGCTGAGGTCCAGGGCTTCGAGGACAGCTCCATGGCTTCTCGAACTGAGCTCTCCTCCTGGCTTAGGGCCAGTCAGGATTCTAGGTTGCTGAAAGGGCTGGATCGGATCTGCATTCGGCTAGGGTTCAGACGGGGACGGCTGGGGGGCAGCAGTAGAGACGAGCTGGAATCTAGGCCCCGCTGCCATCTTGCTGTGTGGTCAGCTGTACCCTCACAGCTTCTTTTTAGTGTCTACAAAGCTGACCTGAGGCTGTGGCAGAGAATGGGAGATGAAACACACAGGCGCCTCAGAGCAGAGCGGAAGCTGGGGAGGGAGGTGAGGAGAGGACCTGTCCCTGGGCTGCACGTGGGGTGCCCACGATACTCCTAACACACGTGGCACTTGACTGGAGGGGTGGGCAGGCAGAGGCGGGCCCGTATGGCAGTCTGGGCAGCTTACAGAGGCTAGCTCTGCCCTGGCTGCTGGCTGGCTGGCTGGCTGGCTGGCTGGCTGGCTGGCTGGTTGGTTCTCTGGGCCCACACAGGTGCCCTCTCTGCTCTCCACAGCCTGGGACTGGAGAGTCTGGCCCTGGTGACCCTCAGCTGGGTAAGGTGGCAGCCGCTCCTCCTCTGCCCCTGGGAGGCTACGCTAATTGATGCCACAGCAGAGGTCCTGGGCAACACTGGCTCTCAGGCTGGCGGTCTCCCAGGTGGTGACCAGCCGCTGTCAGCCTGGCGCCCTGTGGACCCGACTTGGGCTTCTGGGAAACTGCCAGGCTGCCAGCCCAGCTCCCTTTACCCTGCCTCAGGGTACTGTCCCCTGAAGCCTTCCCAGCAACCATCAGGCAGGTAGGATAGTTGAGAGCTCTGTGTCCTGTTCTAGATAGCAGCCACATGGCCCACATGGACAGGCCAGTGGTGGCATGCAGACCCAGCACACAGGGTTTTCTTGGAATGTGTGCATGCTGATGGCATTTGTTAGTCTGTGTCTAATCTGTTGTTTGTGGCATGAGACTGTCGCTCTTCCACCTCTATCCTCGAGGGAGGGTACAGTCAGCCAGGACTCCATGGCTCCTGACCTGGGGTGGGCATGGAGGGAGATAGCCAGAGGCATGTCTGGCACACAAGTGTGGTTTTAGAAACCTCTGTAGATAGGGGTACTGTTCAGAGCAGGGGTCTTTCTGGGGGAATCCACATTCCCTTCCCTGTCCCCTTTGTATCTTAGCTCCTTCCCTGTAGTCTTCTTTAGTGGGGGGACAATGTGGTTTTGCCCTGGGCTATTTATAATCAGGGGTGGGTAATGCTAGGTATGTGGGGTGGCAGGCTCGGGGAAAGGCTACCTGGATAGTAGTCTTGGTTCTTGGAGTTGGTACTGTGGCTGCCCTTTGGGGACCTGCAAAGTTCTGTCGGGACAGGGTCTCAGGGCTCAAAGGCTTTCTTGAGAACAAAGGTCCTGCAAGAGAAGGACCTTCCTTTGGCCCATTTCTGCTTTGTGATCTTTCTGTCTCCGTGGGAAGAGAGCCCTTGAATAGAGCCTGGGCCTCAAAGGCTGGCATCCATCGGCCAGGGACCCCAGGAGCTTAACTTTGCACTGCACCTCAGAGTGAGCTAACAAGCATTAGGGGATGGAGAGAGGTCCCCACAGCTCCAAGCAACACTGACGCTCCTGGGATAGCCCCCGACCTAAGTCAGGCTTCTCTGGAGTAATTCTTTCGGAGGGACTGAGGGACACCAAGGAGGGAGATGCAGATGCTAAGGGTCCTGTCTCCCTGGACCCGACTCACAAGAAGGGAAAGGAAGTAATGAGTCACCTGGAATTCAAGGAGGGCTCAGCTTCCGGAGACCTGGAGCTGCCGTGCCTGTCTCCATGCATTTCAGCCAGGCATTGAGTTGTGCAGCCCCATGCCGGGTTGGGGGGTCCTTTCCCTCTTTAGAGACAAAGAAACTGAGACCAGGGGATGAAAGTTACTGTGCTCCTGCAATTAGGAAGCAGCTGGCTGGAACCCAGGCTTTCGGTTCTTAGCATGAATGTGCATGGGTCAGGGCTATGTGTTGTTGGTCAGGGCTGTGCACAGGGCGGTTCTCCAATCCATCAGGAAAGAAGCCAGACAGAGAAGGAAAACCCACCTACAGTGTAGACAGGCCGGCCCATTCTTGTCTGCGGACTTTACAGTCTCCACTGGCAATGTGGATGTGGCCTGGAAGAGACCTCAGGCCATCATCCAAGCTGGGAATGGAAGCTACAGCCTGAAAGCTTCCTGGGTGCAGAGAGGACCTCTGGCTGGCCTCCCAAAGCCTTGGACTGGGAAGGGATGAATCCTTTCAAGCCCTTCAGAGTGGTTCAAAAGACCACTCCCACCTGGAACTCTTGTAAGCTCGAATCCTGAGGTGCTTCTGGGACAGGAGCAGAACTGGGTCCCAGAAAGGTGCCTCCTGGCACTTCCTGCAGGGCAAGCTCAGCCCCAGGGCCAGGGGGTGAAGGAAGGAAGCTAGCAACTTTCTGGTCAGAGTTTCTGGCTAGCAGGCCCCCGGGGATGGAGCTCAGTGGCGGCAGAAAGGGGAGGAGTGGGTATTTGCCGGAACCCTTCAGATCCTGACGCGCCCAGAACAGAGCTAGCACTTTGCTTTACTGAAATGGGGCCAGTGGAGGCCTGGAGGCAGCAGGAGGGGCCAGGGTCAGCGCGCAGAGGGAAGTTTCCAGCGGCGGGCCGGCTCCCTGCAGGGAGAGCTGCGCTAGTCCGGGATTGGAGCGGCAGACACCCTGGCGGCCTGGCCTGGAGGAGGCTGCCGCGCGGGATGGAGCCGTCCCAAGGTCACCAGCTCCGAAGAGCCCTGGGCTGTGGGGCTGGGGTGCTCCGGGGCGGCCCCTCGCGCGCCCCCGCGCCAG